CCCAATATGGAAACCGAGAGCGTTGACCTTAAGTGAAAGTTGACCATAGGCAAGCGTTTGAGTAAACGACCCTCGATATAGTTCGTTTTATTATTCATRTACTTAAGTGAAAGTTTGACTTCATATACACTAATAGATATCCAAGGTACCTTGTAACTCAGATTATATATAGTAATATTATGGACCAAAAATCAACATAATCTTTTTGTTTGTAATGAAGAGGAACGAGTAAATAGTTAATTTTTAACATAAAATATTCCAAAAAGAATAATGCATTTTTAGCAGAAGGACTTGAGCCTATTTCCAACGGGATTTTAACTTTAAACTGTTGTGTATTTAAACAAAGTCATTACATTTCTTTGTCAACTGAGCAACACGACTAAGAGCATCTCCGACAGATTCCCAAAATGGAAACAAAAATTAAAGTCTCTAAAAAAATTTATATTTATCTCCACAGCTTCCGTATTTTGTAGAATCCAATATTGATTATAATTTTAAAATATTTCATTTATCTATTAGAATATTATTTATCTCTCTAAATATTTATTCTTAAAGTTTTCTAATGATGGGATACATTACAAAAATATTTTTCTCACATGATAATCATTTTTGTGGTGTTCATATTTGGAAAAAAAATATTATTCTTTTCCTATTTTCTCCATTTTAGAGATTGTTTTAGGAAATATGTTGGAGCATAAAATTAGTTCAAAATCTCTATTTTCTCAATTTTGAAGTATCTATTGGAGACCTCAAGAGCTTTTCATTTTCCATTTAAAATAACTTCCAAGTCTGCTTATTCTGTGCATTTGCACGGGTATATTGCTAGTATAAAATATATAGATGCATAGAATCTGTTTAAAGTGATGTTGTGCACCCAACCAGAGGAGCTGTATAACACTAGTTCTGAAATGGAAAGAGAGAATTCTAAAACCTAAGCGGGAAAATGGTTATTTAAAAGATCTAATTGCCTCACTCCTGGAGGTAACAGAGAGAGAGAGAGAGAGGGAGAGGGAGAGGGAGATGGCTGAAGAATCCTCCAAGAAGCCCATGAGTTTGAATCAACTTCATAATCGCTTCCTCAGCGCTTCTCATTCCAAATCAAATGCTTACGGTTTCCTATCTGGTATATTTATGTACCATGTCTTATTTTCTTTCATTAATGTCATCTCAAACCCTTGATTTTTAGTTTCTTATTAACAGTTTCTATATGTGTTTAGTGTTATGAGATTAGGTTACTAGTGCTTAATTTTGTTTTTATTACTGCAGAAATGAAGAATCGGGAGCGGGAGGAGGAGGAAGACGATGGCCCTTCTTTTAATATCACCGATTTCGATTCTCCTTCTGGCAAGACTATTTAGTTCTCTGAATGTGTCTAACAATCTATATATGTGGATGATTTTTTTTGGGTATCTGAAAATTCTTAAACCCTGATTTGGTATCTGATTTCTTATGTGAGCTTGTTACCATCTGAAATGCAGAAATAAAAACCCTACCAAAGATGGGGGATGAAGACAAAGCTTCCTCTGCGGAACGAGTTGATGATGGTGAAAATGGTGCCTCCCATGATGAATCCGATATTATCGATTTTGGTTCATCTTCTTCTGGTACTCCATCTCTTCATCTATCTAACTATCTTTTATGTATTTAATAGTCGGTAGTGGTTTTGCTTCACGTTTATGTAAATCAAATAGGTTTTTGTGCTTGAAGAAGCATTAAACCCTAAAGGTTTATTGGCGGGGACCTCATGGCCCCGTGGTCCACAGTTTGTGACATACTTGTACGGCTTTTATGTTATACACTACTTAAGAAATGTGAAACTCTATTATATTATTTTCCAAAAGAGTCCTAAGGAGAAAAGGAGGTTCCAAAATATATTGTAGACAAACGGTCTAAGTTTAGGCGATGTTTGCCCCCCTCGAATGGAGGCTAGATGGGCACAAGTAATCCCGGACTGTTGAGAGGGGGCTAGACAAGTACATAATGCCCCAAAGTGTCATGTCCTTGGACTGGTAGAACTTGTCTTTGATACAATGTAAAAATATATGGAACCCCATTAGATTCCTACAAGGGAGGTTCTTACATGTATATGGAACCCCATTAAAAATATATGGAACCCCATTACTTTCCAAAAGAGCCACAAGGGAGGTTCCTACATGTATTGAGGAGAAATGGTAAGTCTAGCCATGTGAGACTCTGCATGGCCTCTCAGACAAACACAAATTGTTCCGGGGTGTCAAGAGGGGGTAGACAGGTGAGGGTGCTAGAGTATATTGTCCCAGCGTGTCGAGTCCTAAGAATGGTAGATCCTGGCTTTGATATCATGTGAGGATATGTGGGACTCTATTAGATAACCCTCCAAAAGAGCCAGAAGGGAGGCTTCAACATACATTAAGGAGAAATGGTCCAAGTTTAGCCGCTGTGGGACTCTAACACACTATTTTGTTGCTGTTTGAAAGGAACAGGGAAATCCCTATCAACCGTTATGAATGAAGACAAACTCCCAACCGCTGAGCAATGTGAAATTAGTGCCTCTCTTGGTGAACCTGCGAGTTCCATTGTGGATGACTTAGCTTCCCGAAATGGTAATCCATTTTCTTTCTATCCATTGTAATGCATGATTATTTTGTTTTTGGGTTTGTAAGAGTATATATTTGTGATAACAGCAGGGGGAAAGCATCAGAAAGTTAAAATTCATGGACGACGGAGGCTCTGCAAAGTTGTGGCAAGAGATGATGAAGAGGAAGATGACAAATTTCATGATGTTGAATCAGATTTCTCAGCAATGGTTTCTGAATTTGACTCACCCAGTCCTGTGAAGAATACTGGGGGCAATCTTGATAGTGGTGATGAAATCAGAGATATTCTAAGCAATTTAAGTTCAAGGCTTCAGTGTCTATCAATTGAAAAGAGAGGACGCCCCGTCAAACAACTTCCAAGTTCTTCTAATTCCGTTATTAAAGAAAAGTTGGATCAACAGAAACCTGTTGAAACTTCTGAATTTTTAGATGTTGAAAATACATCATTTTCTGTCTCATCTAACCGGTCTGATTCATCGGCAAAGGCAATTCCCKCTTCTATGGTTGGGCATAGTGCTGGTATGATGCCAAACGGTCTTATMAAAAATAATGTCTGCCCACCAAGCAGAAAAGAGAATGTTAATGGTGAATATGTAAAGGATCAAGTAGGAAAGGTTGTATCTACTGAAAGTTTTGTTTGTCCTCGGAAAAATGAGGATGACGACGAAGACGATTGTGTRGTTACAAGTGGCCACAAATTTYTTCAAAAAGGGGAGAGTAGGCATGGAAAGTTATCTCCGAAATCTGATGGTTCTAACAAGRTTCACATGTTGAATGATGAAACARACGATTCTACTTCAGGAAAAGAAATACCATTTTCTCTTAGTAACCCAAAATTCAGTTTTAYATTACCTAGTAAGATTGCAAACATGYTATACCCTCATCAGCGTGAAGGTTTGAAGTGGCTTTGGTCCCTTCATTGTAGAGGGAAGGGTGGTATTTTGGGGGATGACATGGGCSTAGGGAAGACCATGCAGGTATGCACTTGTATTCTCTTTTTATATTTTTTTGAGCAAGATTTATCTTACCTTTTTCACAAATGGGGGTCTTCATGGAAACAACCACTCTACTATGAGGCATAGGTTAGGTCTGCGTACATCCCAGTCAGGGTCGGATATATTGGGCTTGTTTGGTTTGGTCTATATGTTATTACTATTTAGTCTTCTTTCTGGTACTTGCCATGTAGAGGGTAGCATGATTTTAATCTGTGTCATTTCAGATTTGTGGCTTTTTGGCTGGGCTATTCCACTCAAATTTGATAAAGAGGGTATTGGTTGTTGCTCCCAAGACGCTATTACCTCATTGGATGAAAGAACTAGGCGTGGTTGGTCTTTCGCAAAAGACAAGAGAGTGAGTTTGCTTGGACAACAGGGGTTATATATACATACATATATATATATATATGTATGTATTTGACATCATCTACTTATAATTATTCGCTAAAGACCATTAATTTCTTCTTTTACTTTTCAGATACTTCGGAACTTGTGCAAAAGCTCGACAATATGAGCTCCAGTATATACTCCAGGTAGTCTTTGACTTGGATCTTTTVTGCTCAAAGTTCCCTAGATTTATAAAATTTTACCAGCWTTAAGTTAATGCATGCTTAACAAAATAAAGTGATGCCAAATTTGACATTTTGCATCATGCTGATAGGATATTCCAGTGAATACTGGTCCATAACTTTAAAACAGGGATTGGAAAAAAAAAACATGACTTAGAGCAGAAATCCATTAGTTCAAGACATCAGATGTTAAGCARGCTCCAGAATTGAGATTCACTCCTATTTATACATATGCTTCAATTGTGGTTTCTCTTGGTTCCTTTTATAGGATAAGGGTGTTCTTCTTACAACTTATGATATTGTGCGGAATAATGTAAAATCTTTATCTGGAGACTATGAAGACCTGGATGAGGATGATGTGACCTGGGATTACATGATCCTTGATGAGGTATATTTTGTGCTTGCAGTTCAAGTTCAGTCGTTCAGATGCTTTCAATTCAAGTCTGACTGSCTCAGCATTTTATGGCTTTTTTTGTATCATTGATTTCTTCCAAGCATGCWWATCATTTGTTATCTTGATATCCAAACACAGGGGCATCTCATAAAGAATCCTAGTACACAAAGGGCTAAAAGTTTGTTGGCGATACCTTGTGCTCATCGTATAATCATTAGTGGCACTCCACTGCAAAATAATCTTRAGGTATATCTTGATAATTCTACTTTCTGTTTTTTTATCAGCATATTTATATATATTTACTATTACACAATAGTTTGTATCAAAAGTRATGCTCTTGATCTTTTTGCTATATAATCTAGGAACTGTGGGCTTTGTTCAACTTCTGTTGTCCAGAGCTTTTGGGTGACAAGAAATGGTAAGTTTATGYAAAAAGCATGTTTCTTACATCTAAGTACTTGATGATTCTTCTTTTCTTATTGTTATGTTTGTATTTTCTCTTTTCAGTTTTAAGGACAAATACGAGTCAGCAATCCTTCGTGGAAATGACAAAAATGCATCTGATAGAGATAAGCGCATTGGTTCAGCTGTTGCACAKGTTATGGTTCCATAGATTTTATATWCATACCAAATGACAAATCTTWGACATTATGGCAAATAATCATTTGCATTATTTTCAACACTGAGTGTAGTTCGGTTATATTTGCAACCATATTGCAACAGGGTCTCTGTCCAACGRAAACACTCTTTTGATTTTTGAGCTGTTTTACATGCAGATTCATGTGATCATRTCACCATAACATGTTGTTTCAACCTCTTCTATTTGGTTGATTCKCATTTTTAACACTGGATGAYCAATCTTCATTCTTAAAATTATTTGCACTTTTGTATAGCCTGCCCAGAAAAGGCTGTTTTTTGCTGCCTTTCTCATATATGATTGAAACTACAAACTTGACTTATTTGATGGCATAYGATCATGGTTTTTAGCTACTTGACAGTTGCTATTCTTTTGCTCAAGGTTTTAATTATAGTTAAATGAAATTTCTTATTCTCGGGCACAATATCAAGTAATACTATCAATTAGACCTAAATGGATCTAATTGAGGCATAACGGGTCTAAGTGGTTTTTAATGGATMGTTTTGGAATAAGTCGTTATAATGTGTATTATTCTCCTAAATTAGTTTAAGTGGGACATAACGAGACTAAGTGGGTCATATTGTTTCTTATTAGAGCTAAATGGATCTAATTGAGGTCTAACAGGTCTTAGTGGTCCTTAATGGCTTGTTTTGGTATTTKTGGCTATAATAGGTCATAYTAWTCTTGATRAGTCTAAGTAGGTCATAATGGGACTAAGCGAGTCATCATGTGTCTGATTAGACCTAAATGGATCTTATTGAGGTATAACGGGTCTAAGTGGTCCTTAATGGGTTGTTTTGGAATAATTCAGTATAATGGGGCTTTTTTCTCCTTAATTAGTCTAAGTGGGTCATAATGAGTTTMATTATAGCTAWATGGATAATGGGTCATTTTTGATTAAGTGGTCCATAATGGGTTATTTATTTAATATAAATGGATTTTTCTTGCTGTAGTTCTGTGTTAACCTTTGACATTGCATGTATTCATGCTCGTGTTACTGCAACCTTGAATGTGCTGTGCATCATTTTGCACATTTTTCTATTTTAGTCCTTCGGTTTTGTTGACACTTTGTGTTTTCTAAATTGTTGAAGTCTCAGYCGTGGCTACTGAATGGTCTTTAGTACGGACCATTAACYATACATCTAACTTAATGCAGGATTTAAGAACATGCATTCAGCCCTATTTTCTTCGACGCCTAAAAAGTGAGGTGTTTCGTGATGACGATGCTACAAATACTGCCAAGCTTTCTAAAAAGAATGAGATCATTGTGTGGTTAAGATTGTCTGCTTGCCAGGTAACAAGAATAAGAATTGATCACTTTAAGACTCGCACTTAAAGTTGGTGCATGTTTCTTTGATTTGTTCATCATGTCTTTTAAAGTACCRCTTACATTCTTGTACTGTGTTCATCTCTTTTGGCTGCAGCGYCAACTATACGAAGCCTTTTTGAATAGTGAGATTGTTCTTTCAGCCTTTGATGGTTCACCTTTGGCTGCTCTCACGGTATTGTCACTGGTTTATCTTTTACTTCTATTTTGTTACCGTCTTGTTTTTGGTGTTTATAKCGTCTTCAAATTCTTATTGTATCCTATRTTCTAAAATGAAGTCAGGTCTTTAGTTTATGTCCATTATTCTTGTTTTTTAAACGAATATTCATTTCTTGTTTGTACCTCTCATTGTACCCTGTGTCCTATTTGAAGGGATRTACCCCTGTGAARTTGACAGACAYTACATATGTGTGTGTATGCAYGGAGAAAATCAAKTGAGRACCTCAAAAATGTTAGAAGCAATCTCCATGTATTTGTTTCACAATTTGAAACTTATGTATTGTKTGTTTCATAATGTGAAACAATACTATATGTTTCACATGTATTGTTTCAGATGATGAAACAAGACATGGTTCAATGGTTCTCAATGTTTTCAGCAATTTTGAGGTTCTCATTTTATTATGCTTCTAGATATATATTTTAGATATGTTGAGATCATGGGTAATTCACTTTTATGTTTATGCTTACATACATTTTCTTTCTGTTCTGATGTAGATATTGAAAAAGATATGTGATCATCCACTTCTGTTAACAAAGAGAGCCGCTGAAGATGTATTAGAAGGAATRGAATCAGTGCTAAATCAGGAGGATCATGGGGTTGCTGAAAGATTGGCAATGCACATAGCAGATGTGGCWGATAGATATGACATTGGAGAAAATCATGACATTCTCTCATGCAAGATCTCCTTTATTGTATCATTGCTGGTTAGAATATGACATGCTTTCGATCAGTTGAATGGGCGTGTTTTATAGCAGCATGTGTGATGGGTTTCTTTTTATTCTGTAACAGGATGATCTGATTCCAAAGGGTCATAATGTTCTTATCTTTTCCCAGACCCGCAAAATGCTTAATCTTATTCAGGTTTGCTCCAAATTGGTTTATCTTTATGAAGTAGGATGTTCACTTAGCAAATTAGTTATTTTATTTTGTTTAAATAAAAATCCTGCTGGAAAGTAGGGTCTGAAGGGTGAGATATATGCAGACATGTCTCTGCCCCAAAAGTGTAGAGCGGATGTTTCCGTGAATGATACTACAGTAATATTAGTATATCATTTTGTACAAACACCGTCATCTATATCTTGCATATTTTTAAGCAGATACTGTTTTTTTTTTTTTCAATTTTACCTGCAGTTATGAATGTTTGCTTCTTTTCCCGTCCCTTGTGCTTAGGATACTCTTACTGCCAGAGGCTACAAGTTATTGCGGATAGATGGTACTACCAAAGCTACCGACAGATTAAAGATAGTCAACGTCGGTATTTTTCTTGTACTTATCCATTGAATTTATTTTATTCAGTGTAAATATGACATTATATCAATAACAGGATTTTCAAGAGGGTGTTGGAGCTCCARTATTTCTTTTGACTTCTCAAGTTGGTGGTCTGGGACTTACCCTTACGAAGGCAGATCGTGTCATTGTGGTTGATCCAGCTTGGAACCCGAGGTTGCTCTTTTCACTTAGATTGTGCTGAATCTTGTTTTGCAAAATAACGTTTCTTCAGAAAAATGWTATCTACATTTAGAAGCTCTATAAATCCMTTAAACATGAAACGTCCTCTGTCCCAAAATAAATGTCCACCATGAAAAAAGGCACATAATTTATTTATTATGCTTATTAATTAGCTAAATGACAATTTTACCTTAGTAGTAGTGGGAGCAATGAATTTCTTCATCTCATAAATTTAGGATGAAATTGGAACGTAGACACTTACTTAAAAGTGGACACTTATTTTGGGACGAACAAAAATAAAAACGTGGACACTTATTATGGGACGAGGGGAATATACCTGTTTTTGTTTTGGTTGATATTTTGAAATATTCTAGAACATCTTTAGGGAAGACCTCATAAACCACATTTGGGGATGAAATATCTGATGCCTGCCCATTTATGCACTCATACGCTGTGTTCTCAAAACCTTCTTTACAAAGAAGGAAAGGGAGGGAAAGTAAAAAAAAAACTTTGTGTTCTCGAAATTCTTTTAGGAGAGAAAGGGAAGGAAACGGAAGGAAAATAATTATAAGTTCCTCACCATAATTTTCTTTCCAAATTTGGGAGGAAAGGGATGGAAAGGAAAGAAATTAAAACCCTTTGAAAAGGTTATTGAAGTTACAGGACTACCCAACTTTTCATTATATTTTTAAAGGTATATTTGTAAAAAAGAATCTTTCTTTTCCTTCTCTTTTGTTCAAGAATGTGAGAAATTATTTTCTTCCTTTTCCTTTCTTTCCTTTTTCTTCCCTTTCAAGAACACAAATAAAAAAATTATTTTCTTTCCTTTCTCTTCCCTCCCTCTCTTTTCCATCCAATTCTTTTCTATTTTTTTTCTCCCCAATTTCGAGAAGACAACTTAGTAATTCACTAATTATCAGGCTCAAGGGTGGGATTTGAACTCAGGGCCTCCAGGTTATCCTTAGGAAGTCGCTATCATTTGTACAAACTCAGCTAGGCAGTATACAACTTCTTAGGGTGTGTTTGGTACAAAGGGACATTACGAGACATGATAGAACAAAAACTTGTACCATGTTTGGTGCAACATTAAGACTGGGATAGGAGTTAGCCAGTTAGGACAGGACTGAGTGAGATAAAAAAGCATTTTTTTGTCCCACCAAAATAGGTGGAACCAAAATCTGGGGAATGGACTAGATTGTAAATTACTAAACTAACATGTCAAATGAAAACCCTAAAACTTGCGAAGTTCTTTTACCGCCTACCTTATTCTTGCCCGTTTGTGTCCCAAATGCACCCTTAGATACTTAAATAAACCAAATCAAGCCAAACAAACCATGTATATCCCGCTCGAAAGCAGGGAGCAGTTGGACGCATGAGGACCTGGATTTTACCCAAAGCGTTGGTGCCTTCTTTTTGGTTCTTTTAGATACCTGAAAAGCAATACCATCCACCATGTACGAAATAAAACTTCTAGCCAAATAAGCACAATCTATTTTAAGAACTTCCAACTTTTAATTAGTATGGTCAAGTGCATTTGAAATCAAACCCAGTGACACTTTTGGCTTTTAATTTTTTTACAGCACTGATAATCAAAGCGTTGATCGTGCATATCGTATTGGACAGAAGAAGGATGTTATTGTGTACCGTTTAATGACTTGTGGTACTGTGGAAGAAAAGATATATAGAAAGCAGGTTAACATGATTCAATATTTAATATGATGTTGTCTTTAATAGTTCTTCGTCATATCTGAATGCTTAAGCTTCATGAGACAGATATACAAAGGGGGCTTATTCAGAAGTGCTACAGAACACAAAGAGCAAATTCGCTATTTTAGTCAACAGGTGAATGCTAAAAAGTTGGACAGTTTTGTTATTTTATTACTTAACAGTTCCCATTTCGAGTTGGGCTATTATGGCCATAACCATCTTTGGGAAACAGCACTCACGAGTCAGTGTGCTTGTTTGTTATCTCAGGATCTTAGGGAGCTTTTCAGTATCCCCAAACAGGGTTTTGATGTTTCTCCAACTCAACAACAGTTGCTTGAAGAGCATGATTGTGAACACAAAATGTTCGTAGTTTCTTTGATCATTGATCTTTTAATCCTTTCATTTGATACATGTTGTCTAGTGTGATTCAAATGATTTAGTTTTGGATTTTTTTGCAGAACAGCGGTTTTATATTCTAGATTATATGTTCTTTGCAATATTATGGGCATTAGAGCATCCATAATGAACTTTYTTCAATAGCTYTTTGGAAAGCTTTTTTTTGCCACCTAAGATTATGAAAAACTGCCTGACAAGCTACGATAAGTTTGTGGGTCCCACCTAAGTTTGTGGGACCCACTCTTTTGGAAAAAGCTTAAATAAAAAAATCTTACAATTGTGAATGCTCTTAAGTTACTTATTTTCAGCTTTCTCTTTTCAGCCTGTTGAATTATTTAAGTGGATAATGATGATATTTGGCTTTTGATTTACTTTATTGTAGGGATCCATCTCTTAAAGTGCACACAAAGTTTTTGGAATCTCTTGGTATAGCTGGTATTAGTCACCACAGTTTGCTCTTCTCCAAGACGGCTCCAGTGCCAGTTGTACAAGATGATGAACTAACGAGGTGAGACCCTTTCAATCTTCAAGGGCATACTGGGATTTTTCACATTTTGAATTTTGGCAAAAATTATTGTAGCACCATGTTTGTTGCAAGATGATTGTTTGTGAAATAAGCTTTGCTTGATCTGCATCATGTGTTGAAGCAACTGTAATGCATGTATATTGCTAGTTTATGCTCTTTGTTAGCTTGAATTTGCATATTTTTTCAATTTTATCATATGCAGCTTCTACTCCCTTCATCCTATGAAATTTGCAATATTTTATTAAATATGTTTTGACTATTAGTGAAATGTCTCAAGTGCCATTTAATAAAGACCAAGTAAGAATATATTGTGGGCCCAAACTATTTATTGTTATTGTAACATTTATATTATACAAATAGGTAATTTGGTTTAAATGTTTCCCGAATTTACCCGTAACTAGTGAAATGTCTCAAGTGCCATTTAATACACCTATGAAAAATTGATCACATCAGAAGTAGAATAAAGAACTTCACACAATATATTACAAGTTTCAGGGGACAGTAGCATTTTCTTTGTTACTTTTTAGCAATTTTTTGTATAGTGAATTTGTTCTTATATGGATTTCCTTAATCTAATAGTTTCTTGAATGACATGTAGGATTAGGCAATCAACATTCGTGGGTAATTCGTCTTCACGCTCCTCACATGAACAAAATGTGGATGCGTAAGTTTTCTCTTGATGCTCTTTCGTTATATACACACACATATATATGATTATACGCATGATACACAAGCTTAATCATATACGATTAAACACATGTTGCATTGACACACATATACGTTAAATCATATATGATGAAACACATATATGACATTGAAACTTCTCGCCTTCTCGCAAAATGTTCAATTTCTCGCATGATCCTTCCTCTACACACACAAACATATATATATATATATATATATATATATATATATATATTTGTTGTTTTCTAATTATGGTTAATCTGTATCTTTAGCAGTGCTCAATATGCTTTCAACCCAAAGGATGTTGTTGTGCAAAGGAAGAATCTTTCTCCAAGTATTTCCCGCAAACTAACAGAATCGGAAATTAAAGAACAAATCAAACGGCTGTCTTATGTTTTTGCAAACAAGGTATCATCTAATTCTAATCTACTAGTAAACTAAGCTCGCTGCTCTTCGGGGTAGAGATTAGTATTGGTACATCTCATCTCCCAGACCTACTTCTAGTGGGATTTACTGGTTCGTTTTGTTTGGTTTTGAAATCTAATTTTGGATTTTGGGGATGGAATTTGCTCATATTTTTACTAGTTCTAATGATCGATGCAATAGAGAACGATGAATATTGTTTGATTTTTTATTTWGTTTGTCAAATGGTACAACTTATACAAGAAATATGTTTGCTTGTTTGCAGACCAATAAGCCAAMGTTAGTGTGTTTTCTTCTCCCTATGCAACTGGTGATGATACTTTGTGTACTAAATTCAAGGTTGCAAATATCAAGTAATGATTACTAATGGGTAGAACAGGAATTTTCCATTGAAAGTTAACCAAACAAGGAAAACAATGCTTTTTTATTGGATCACTTGGAAAGAAACATGTATTTTTTATCGGAAGCAGGAAGCAATTTTTTAAGGTTGGAAAGAGTARTSTTTTCTTATTACCAGGAAACRATGTGATTGGCATTGGTGTTCTTAAGCACATGCTAGGCATTTTGAGTGTTGATTGTCAATGAAACCTTTAAAATGGGGTCGTAGCCTGCTAGGACCGTATGAAATCTCCTTGGATTTTTTGTAACAWAAGCCAAATCARATCAAACCAAATAAACCCWGTATATCCCACCTGAAGGTATGGTTTGSGGTATTGATGTACACAAATCTTATAGCATGTGGTGTTTAAACCTTAGTTCCGAGGAGTTGGGGTAGGCCGAGGARGACGTCGGATGAACAACTGAGATTTGACATGGTGGCTTTAGGCATTTTTGAGGACATGACTTCTGATAGGAATTCGTGGAGACACAAAACTAGGGGTGGAGATCTACACGGGAGGGAGTTGGAGAAGTAGAGGGTAGGGGTTAGGGTTAGTGAGTCGATRGTTAGGTTTTTGCTTTTTTCTTGCACTTGCCGTTATTTGTATTGCTATTTTTTACTTATCTTTGACTTTTTAAATCTTAAGTGTACCGGATTTTCTCTTTTTCATACACTTTTCATAASCCAGGGGTGTTCATGGAAACTGTTGCTCTACTTTTCAAAGTAAATGTCAGGTTCAGATATATCTTACCTTCACGAGACCCCACCTCTGGCTCTGGATGGACCTACTGGACTTGTTTGGTTTGGTTTAAACCTTAGTTACAGATAACATAATTCATGGATGCTTATGTAGGATCATATCTTGATGGTGCATAATCTTTAAGTCTTGTGTTCCGTGTAGTTCTTTCAGGGGATGGTTGATAGGTTACCGGATAAGGGAGAAAAGATACAAAAACAAATGGCAGAGTTGAATGCAGAGCTCCAAAAGCTTCGTATGCCGAAAGGAGGTGAAACAGAAACCATTGATTTAGATGATGTCGTTGATGATTTCAACAGGGTGTTGAATGTTTAAATGAAATCTTCGTAAACGTCGTCRTATGCCGAAAAGAGGTGAAAAGAGAAAATATTGATTTAGATGCTGATTTCAACGGAATRTTGGATGTTTAGATGAATTCATGTGATATTTGTCAAAACTCWGCTATGTGTTCTTTGGTTTTGAAAATATTGGCAACCATTCTATGTTTTGGTTCATGTTCCACTGTACATAAAGCATTATCACATTATGAAGATTATGTTTATTTGTGTTCTTTTATGAAGCAATATTGGCAACCATTCTATGTTTAGTTTTGGTCCCTAATCTTTGTCTATTTCAATTGATCTTGCTCCTAAACTTCATTTAGGTGGTTTTCGTCCCTCACGTTTGTTGCTTCGTCACAGTTTGTCTTTGGTGCCGTTTCTTTTTGGCTGTTAGGACCCTTTCACGTGCTTTGCACGCGGAGAGTGTTTTGGTCTTTCCAAAGTTTCTTCCCTCTCAATTGAGGAGATGGTGCCTCTATTGAGTACTCCTTAATCCGTATAATCTTCTTTGAGTTCTCTCATGTTTCTGGTTCATTTGCGCGTCTCCAACTTTACTTGCATTCTAACAATGGTGTAATGTACCTTCGGAGCAGATTTACTCATTCGAACATCATGGACATCTAATTTCGGGCTTCGATTTTGCTATTCAAGAATGGTAAGTCTTTTAGTTTGGTCAAAATCGTGATTTAATCATTCGAACATCATGGACATCTTCTAATTCTTTGTGATTCTATTGCTGTTCAAGAATCCCAAGTCTTAGGTCAAAATCTTGGTTTTTCGACCTAACTTTCCATCTCCTTGTTTAATAGGGACGAAGTTGTGGATTTATTTGTTGGTTTGACCAACCATTGCGTCATCGTTCGATGGACATTATTTCTGACTTATTGAGGTCAGATAATATTGTTCAAGAAGCCTATAAACCAATTGTTCAGAAAACTCGTATAATGAAAATCATGTTGGCTTTCACATGAGTGTCTCTTTTAACGTACCTTTTTATTAGTTGACCTAATTAATTTTAAAGATCAATTAGTACTTGTAAGATGGTAAATCAAGTGTGTTGGTATAATAGTTGTCACTTTTAGTTTTTTTTTATAATACATCAAATGAATGATAAATTCTTTTATAATGCATGGCAATCGAATTACGTATTTAAGTATTTACATCAATGAATTACAGACCAAATATTTTAATAAGTCTAGGATAAGGACATCTGAGACAAACCAATAAAGTCGCCATCTCTAAAACCATAAGGGATACAACCCATAGAGCTAAGTCCGTCATGAACCTCTGACTAGTACTTAACTCTTCTCAAGTTTTGCTAATACCTACAAGTACCTGATACACATGTCGACAAGAAAAAGTGTTAGACTTAAAGTCTAGTGAGCTCAAACATTTTATATTGGTGAATAATAAAACGTAAATTGAACAAATATTCTAGTATGACAATTTTCACATTTGAAAGAACGTCTACATTTTAAAACATCTTTCCAAAATACACCATTTTAGATACCAAATAACATATTTCGATTGGCGGGGGAGACCCGTTTTCATTGGATGTGGCGAAACACAAAGTAAGTCATGTATCAACGTTGTCGAGTTTCACCACGATGCCATAAAACAACATTAGTGCTCGCTCTCCAAGGTTTCAAGATGAGATCATCAAAAATCCTCACTTGATTCAAACCATGGATTTCAAGAAAATAACATCAAAACTTCTCTCTTGATCAGAATCAATCCTCATGCACAAAAATTCAGAACAATAAAATTGCTATTTTATTGGTTTAGATAGAAGTTCATATATGTCAATTAAAGATGCATTTCTTCAATGTTTAGACGCTCTTACGCACCAAAATTAGGAACAAGTCTAATACATCATCATACTACTGCATGAATCATCTTAAGGTAAAAATCGTATGATTTGGTCCTTGAAATGTCCAAAAAACTTAATACCATGTATTTTCCAATGCTTATGAAATTAAATGCACCCAATGTGTACCAGGAGGTCCCAAGTTCAAATCCAAGGAGGAATATAATCCCCTTGTAGCCACGGAGATTCAAATGTGGTAATTCCATGCTATCTGCAAAGCAGGTGGTGACCCTGAAATTAGTCGGCTCGCATAGCGGGTTGGATATCCAGGTTAATAAAAAAAAGTTGCATTAACCAACCAGTAAAAAATCGATGATTTATTTTATTAAAAAAATTTAAAATTTTAATCATTTAGAATGAAAAAGTTAAATTATTCTTTTATTTTGATTTAATCGTTCAAAATAATAAAAGTTGTATTTTTCAAAAATAAAATTCATGACTAAATCATCTAAAATGTGGAAGTTGGTCGATAAAGTTTAACGGTTTTTTGCTTTTATTGATTAAAAACCCGTTTGTGCTAAACCAACTAAAACCGTCGGTGCCTTCCCGACGATCCGCTGCTGTGTTTATCTTCTCCATTGCTGAATCACATCTCCCGTGGATAGCTCTTCATTGGAGTAAGGTTGGTTGTCTTCTTATGATTCAATAATATTCCCGTTTTCTGTTGATTGTGAGTAATTTGTCGGAGCAATTCATGATATGGGTGGATTTCACATTCCGAAAAACTTAAGAATTAAGTAAGGCTGTAAATTAATCTAAGTTGAAGAATTGTGGAGGTTGCCGATTTGAATCTTTTAGTTGTAACTATGGTAACTCTGGGAGTGCCTAAAAGGTGTTCGATGAAATGTCTGAGAGAAGTGGTGTTACATATTGCACTCTTTCACTCTCACTTGGACCAAATATGTAAACAAAGTCTATGGGTAATCCAACTGCAAACATAGAGAAAATCTCAATCTTAGGGGGAGTTGGTAATCTGCACAAGTATAAATGAAATGTTTATTATTATTAAACAAAAAAGATCAATTTTAGAAAGTAAAACAATACCTCTCTATGATATAATACCTCTTACAAAATGTGCAACCATGCTATGTTTATGCAGGTAACAGTAAACTTGTAGGAGGTATAAACTGTTTTAAGGTTTTTGGAGTACAGGTGGATGAAAATGACGTAATTGATACGATTATTGTAGTATAAGTATGTGATTGCTAAACCTTTTTGTTCGGGTATTTATCGAAAATATGTGACAGTATGATAGCGTTTTGATCTATTTTGCCTAAAATTGTAATCGGAAAGCGATCTACTTTTTATTCGAAAGTAGAAGTCTTGGCTAAAAAAATACAACTGGATCCTTATTTTGCTATATAAGAGTCGCTATTTACAAATGTTCTACTTAGGTTAGTTCAAATCTGTTTCGGGCTTTTCTAAGCTGCTTTGACTCTTCAACTTAACTTGGTGAAAAAAAGCTGTATATGATACTATGAAATCTTACAGTCGAACTTGATAGACCAAATTCATGGAATATATTTCCATGTACAACAATATGAAAATAAGTTCAAGCCATCTATAGGGGATGATTAGAAAACCTTTTGTATGAAGATGTTACCATATTGGATTTGTTCATTTATAGTTCCTTTTCAAAAACAAACATTATACTCTCAGGGGTAGAAACCATGTCTGCAGCCCCACCCTTTCCTTCGGGAGGGATATAAAGGCCTCGTTTGGTTTGTGTATTTATCTTGATTCTTTATTACATTACTTAACAACTTGCCTTTCTTGTTTTTGCTTTCTTGCAGTATGCTAGCAAAAAGCACTTTGGTGACCTAAAACAGAAAGTTTTCGTTTTTATGCTGTGTATTCATCAATACCGAGTGGCAGATCACACTAATCTTGAGTAACATTTTCCCAATGGCATTGTGTTTCCGCCACTCCCGCCGCATGATGTCCACATTGTCCCATTTCCGTTCAGTTTCTTCATTCTCTTCCTCAACTTTTGATCCCAAAGAAGTTGTAGCAGAAACCATGACAAAACCTTCACTTCCTTCACTTGAATCTTCTAGTGATGCTGATTTGATTTCTCAGATACTTATCCAGCACCATAATCCGTTCCATTCCATGGAATCATCTCTGCAGCTTAATGGCATTAAGCTTACCCCAAATCTCGTCCACCAAACCCTAATTCGTCTCAAAAACATCTCCAAGATCGCCTTAGCTTTTTTCTCTTGGGGTAAAGAGCAAGCTCAATACTCTCATGACCCCCCTGCATGCAACCTCATGATCGACATATTGGGTAAAGTCCGACAATTTGATGTGGCTTGGCAATTAATCACCGAAATGGACCAAAACGGTGTGAACCCAACTTCCACCACTTTTTATGTGTTAATCCGTCGGCTTATAGCTGCCGGTTTGACTCGGCAAGCCATCCGTGCATTTATTTTTTACACTACTTGAGAAATGTGAAACTCTATTATATTATTTTCTAAAAGAATCCTAAGGAGAAAAGGAGGTTCCAAAATATATTGTAGACAAACGGTCTAAGTTTAGGCGATGTTTGCCCCCCTCCAACGGAGGCTAGATGGGCATAAGTCATCCCAGAGTGTCGAGAGGGGGCTAGACAAGTACATAATGCCCCAAAGTGTCATGTCCCTGGACTGGTAGAACTTGTCTTTGATACTATGTATAAAATATAGAACCCCATTAGATTACTTTTCAAAAGAGCCACAAGGGGGGTTCCTACATGTATTGAGGAGAAATGGTCTAAGTCTAGCCATGTGAGCTTTGCATGGCCTCTCAGACAAACACAAATTGTTCCGGGGTGTCAAGAGGGGGTAGACAGGTGAGGGTGCTAGAGTATATTGTCTCAGCATGTCGAGTCCCAAGAATGGTAGATCCTGGCTTTGATATCATGTGAGGATATGTGGGACTCTATTAGATAACCCTCCAAAAGAGCCAGAAGGGAGGTTTGAACATATATTAAGGAGAAATGGTCCAAGTTTAGCCGCTGTGGGACTCTAACACACTATTTTGTTGCTGTTTGAAAGGAACAGGGAAATCCCTATCAACCGTTATGAATGAAGACAAACTCCCAACCGCTGAGCAATGTGAAATTAGTGCCTCTCTTGGTGAACCTGCGAGTTCCATTGTGGATGACTTAGCTTCCCGAAATGGTAATCCATTTTCTTTCTATCCATTGTAATGCATGATTATTTTGTTTTTGGGTTTGTAAGAGTATATATTTGTGATAACAGCAGAGGGCATGCATCAGAAAGTTAAAATTCATGGACGACGGAGGCTCTGCAAAGTTGTGGCGAGAGATGATGAAGAGGAAGATGACAAATTTCATGATGTTGAATCAGATTTCTCAGCARTGGTTTCTGAATTTGACTCACCCAGTCCTGTGAAGAATACWGGGGGCAATCWTGATAGTGGTGATGAAATCAGAGATATTCTAAGCAATTTAAGTTCATGGCTTCAGTGTCTATCAATTGAAAAGAGAGGACGCCCCGTCAAACAACTTCCAAGTTCTTCTAATTCCGTTATTAAAGAAAAGTTGGATCAACAGAAACCTGTTGAAACTTCTGAATTTTTAGATGTTGAAAATACATCATTTTCTGTCTCATCTAACCGGTCTGATTCATCGGCAAAGGCAATTCCCGCTTCTATGGTTGGGCATAGTGCTGGTATGATGCCAAACGGTCTTATAAAAAATAATGTCTGCCCACCAAGCAGAAAAGAGAATGTTAATGGTGAATATGTAAAGGATCAAGTAGGAAAGGTTGTATCTACTGAAAGTTTTGTTTGTCCTCGGAAAAATGAGGATGACGACGAAGACGATTGTGTRGTTACAAGTGGCCACAAATTTYTTCAAAAAGGGGAGAGTAGGCATGGAAAGTTATCTCCGAAATCTGATGGTTCTAACAAGRTTCACATGTTGAATGATGAAACARACGATTCTACTTCAGGAAAAGAAATACCATTTTCTCTTAGTAACCCAAAATTCAGTTTTAYATTACCTAGTAAGATTGCAAACATGTTATACCCTCATCAGCGTGAAGGTTTGAAGTGGCTTTGGTCCCTTCATTGTAGAGGGAAGGGTGGTATTTTGGGGGATGACATGGGCGTAGGGAAGACCATGCAGGTATGCACTTGTATTCTCTTTTTATATTTTTTTGAGCAAGATTTATCTTACCTTTTTCACAAATGGGGGTCTTCATGGAAACAACCACTCTACTATGAGGCATAGGTTAGGTCTGCGTACATCCCAGTCAGGGTCGGATATATTGGGCTTGTTTGGTTTGGTCTATATGTTATTACTATTTAGTCTTCTTTCTGGTACTTGCCATGTAGAGGGTAGCCTGATTTTAATCTGTGTCATTTCAGATTTGTGGCTTTTTGGCTGGGCTATTCCACTCAAATTTGATAAAGAGGGTATTGGTTGTTGCTCCCAAGACGCTATTACCTCATTGGATGAAAGAACTAGGCGTGGTTGGTCTTTYGCAAAAGACAAGAGAGTGAGTTTGCTTGGACAACAGGGGTTATATACATACATATATATATATACATACATATATATATACATATATATATATACATACATATATATATATACATACATATATATATACATATAT